CTATATCCGTCTATCTTTCATTAAGAGGAACTGACCTACAGGCCAGGAGACAGTCGACTTTCAGTGGTTGCCAACCCCAACGAATCACATCAGGTGAGTGAACAGATTAATTGCTTCATTTATATGATTACCATTGTTGAAACGTTGAGAAGTCTGGGATCAGCAAAACAGCAAAATGTTCTCCACTGTGTGTGTGTGTGTGTGTGTGTGTGTGCGCGTTTATATACATGTTTACAGAGCAAACATATTTTTATTCCCCTTTAAAAATTTCAATTATTGGTTTTTCTATATGTTAGATAAATTCTAATAAACGAGTGTTTATCCGTTCGCGAGATTTATATTTTGCATGAATGTCACGTTAATTAAAAAGTCGACGGGAGAGAAATGAACGAACTCCTCTCGCCGAGCGAGTGAAAAAAATTCTCCTCTTTAATTCCTGCCTCCGCAATTGTGAAACCGAGATCACATTCTGCACGATTAAAATTGACGATTTTCCTTCCTATTTTAATTTCACAACAGTCAAATCATTGTCTCTCTTATTTTATCAATAATATTTGCTAAAATTCTAATTATTCGTTCTTTCATTGGCTGAATGCCCGTTAATACCACAATATAATAAATTTCGAAATTGTTGAATAATTATACAGTGGTTTCTGATGGAAGTTTGATGAAGACAAACTCCCAGCTTTTCTAGAGCCATATATTTCCAAATCGTTAGACTTCACCTTTTGTTAATTAATTGTTCCTCACGATTCACCCGGAAATTAGATAAAAATTTTACGTAATGTATTTTTAAAACAAGGTCATAAAATATTCAGAAAGGTTGTCACAGAAGCTCGGCGAGTTTCAATAAAATTAATGAAAGCCAGAACTCTCTGCTTCCTTCCTGACCTCCCCCCTTTTTTAGCCTCCCTGAACTCCTTGAGGCATGAAAAGTGTTAGCTGAGATCCCCTGAGCTGAATCGATCTTGCACGCAGTTTAAGGAGGGAAAGATAGGAACTAATTTCGAAAATTTCGATGCCTGTCTTGCAGAATTTAATTGGTAGAACGAAGCAAAAATTTGTTTGGCATGTAAATGAAAGCATAAAAATTGAAAAAATTCTTTAACTTAGAAAAAAAAGACACTTGCTAAAGAGCAATGATGAGAAAGAAAGGAACCATGAGAGAGCAGAGGACTGACGGAATAATGATTGTTGATACGCGCAGTGATCGAGATGGAGGAACAGGAGGTGAGATCCAGCGGATGGATAAGACTGTGCTGTCGAGGTGGAAACACTCCACCGCCGGACCGACCTGCCGAGTGAGTAGTGATCGAGGAAAGCTCGGCAATCCGCGTTTAGTTCATTACCAGCATCGACGATCGATCCTCCGCGCAACATTATACTAGTAGGTAAAAGACACACAGAACACCCGTAGCCATGTATGTTTTCTTGCACCTGATCTTCTACTGCTTCTATACAAATTTTATATGATTGTTCAACGATCGTCTGCTTCCAACTTGTTCGATTGTCTTTATTTTTTTTTATTGTGTTAAGTTTTTGTTAAATATTCTTGGGATTCTTTATGTTTGTGGTGTATTCCTGGAATTCCTGGGGATATGTGCTGTCTGAGCGCTCCATATTTCCCAGTCTCTCCCTGGCTCTCCCCGGCTCTCCCCGGTTCTCCCCGGTTTTCTTCGCTTTTCTTCAATTTTTTCAAGTTTTATCATGTATTTCCAGTCCTCTTTAAGCTTTTCCCAAACTCAGATTATTTTAAAATGGAATTTTATTCGAATTCTTTCAAATTTTTGAAGACAAATTTACTTCAAATTTGTTTAACCGTGTGTGATATTTTCTTGGTTTTCTTAAAATCCATTGAACTTCTTTTTGAGTTCGTTAGATATTCTCTTTAGTTTCTTGTTTGAACCTCATAACACTATTCTCATAATTTAACCCTTCGCATGAATAGAGTTTACACGGTTGTTTTGCATGATGCATGATTGAGTATTTCATAGTCCTAAATTTCTCTGAAGTTCCTCTTTCTTCTCTTTGTATAAACGAAAGAGTCTCGTGTGTGTTAATTATCTATTTAACAAATGCAAATAAAAGATAAAACTCTATTAACTGGGGACAATCGATATTTTCTAAATTTATTTATTTCCAAGTTTTCAAATAATCTTCACACTTTTTTCTCTGTAGGTATTCTGTACACAATCAAGGTGTCTTTCTGTTCTTATGCAAAAAACTAATGTTTCTATTTATTTGTGTCCTAGATTTGTATTCCAATCCACGTTTCATAGTTAGGAGTGTGTATAGCCTTTAAAGAATATCGATTTCCCCTGAAAACGATCATCATTTCCGATTTCAGAACAGCGGTTTGACCATAGAGCATCTCTGGACTCCTCGACGTTGAGCGAAAGCTTCAAAATTTCATCCAAACCATGAAGAGCTGGGCTATAAACCTTTCCGAGCAATGAGGATCACTCGGATGAAGACTGCCTGAGTCTTCGGCCTGAAGACTCAACACCAAAGTCTCTACTTAGAGATGTGATTAATTGGACTGAATGATAATAATCTGATTACATTGAGGCTTGGACCATTTTTTTTTACATTATCATGGGATGTTTTGATGGAAGTAGACCTAAGGACATTGTAAAATGAATATGAAGTGTTATTGTCAATTTGTTGAAATATCAGATCATCAAAGGAGATGAAATATGAAGTTTGAGATAGAATCAGTGAAGAATTCCATGTATGATGGGTGGAATGATTTGATGAAAACAATTGAAGAATGTTTGACAAATGTGATTGTACTGTTTCTTTATTTTCTTGTTAATGGAAATCCAAAGATGATGCTTTAAAAATTAGTACAAATGAACTACACTGATTATCTTCATTTCAATAAGAATGAGTTACATAAAAGTGACAATTTCAAGTGAAAGTCAATTACCTTTTTCAAGCTTGAATTTAAGAAAGAGAAAGGGTGGAAGAGAGAGAGAGAGAGATGTTTATAACTTTAACTGGATATGTGTGTTGCTGTTTATATGCTTTAAAAAGTCTCTGTAACTCATGTTTATAAAACTACTATTTAATAAACAATCATACTGGAGGCAGTTCACAAAAAGAATAAGTTAAAAAGAAATTTCTTTTATATCTACAATTTTATTTTAACACTAAAAAATGGAAGTATTAAATTAAGATCTAATAATTCCAATTTCTGACAGAAAGCTCATGTGAATGAGGATGAAAAAAACAATCGAAATCAGAGAAAGAAGACCTTTTCATTGTTTGTAGTTCCTCAAGGGCACAAGTTGAAAGGGCTGGGCTGCCTCGAGTACTCGAGACGTGAATCGAAGCTTTAATTTTCGAGTGTCGCATATTTGAAGCGTTGAAAGCGAAGAAGTACCTGGAATGTATGAAGTATGATAGTCACATAACTAATATCTGGCGATTAAATTCCACAGATTCTTCTGTAACTACAGAGTGAAAGAATTAAAATCCCTCAGATTTCATTCAAATCTGAATAATATGAGGTACTTTCAATTTTCTTGAATTTCAGAAGTTCTTGTTTATGTGCCTGATAATAGTTCTTTTTTTTCTTAGATAAAATAAATTAACTAAAAAGAGCGGAATGTCGTATAGGAGTGTAAAATTTTTTTTAATACTCTAAATCTTGGACTGATGACTAACTGAACACTGTGTAATATTTGTAAACTTTGTTAAGAAGCGTAGGGTAATTGTAAGGCTAGCCAATTAGTAAATGCAACATTGCTTAAGTGACTTTGTAGCTGTGCATTTTTTTAATACTCTAAATCTTGGACTGATGACTAACTGAACACTGTGTAATATTTGTAAACTTTGTTAAAAAGCGTAGGGTAATTGTAAGGCTAGCCAATTAGTAAATGCAACATTGCTTAAGTGACTTTGTAGCTGTGCATTTTTCAAAGATGTAAATAAATAACCGTGACATGAGCTGTATAAGAGTACATATTAACTCCCAAATGAATTATTTATTATGGTCATTTAATTTGAAGATGAATGTTTAAGAAAAAAACAACACATTTGTTACTTGCAAAAGATTTGTATTACCACCATTAATGATACAAAAACATGTCCTACAAAGTACAAGTTTTATTTCTCCAAAAATGAAAATTATATCTGTTTTTTACAAATTTTGGTCAATGCAAGACAGTACATTGATTCTCTAATAACATACATAAACACATTTATATATAAATAGTTCTGAGATAGATGTAATTAAGTAGTTAACAATTGTCCTCCTATGTAGAAAGTACCATTCTTAAAGCTATGAGAAGTTAACGAAGAGACTTTTGTTAAAAAATAATTGTGGAAATCCACTGAAAGGACGGATTCGAGAATCTGATTCGTCTTCTTGCCACTGTTCTCTTTAATTCATTGTGATTTACTGCTATTTTTTATTTTTTTCCTCCAGAAGTATGAAAAACAAATAATCTTACAAAATATTGTGGCAAAATGCAGCATAAAAAACTCAGATTGTTGTAAATAGTCACCCTATAATCCTAGTAGTAAGTTCAGCCAAGGAAATCATATTCTACGTCACAAAGACTATCACAGACACGTTTTAAAAGCCCGTATAAAGTTCGACGCGCTTACCAATAAACGTAAAAAATTCATTATTAAAATTAATACTGATAATTTACCCCATAAAGATTACAATATTAAATTTTATTGCCTGGTCATTAATGCATAGTTTTCAAATAAATTAAGAAATTGGTGCATTGCATGTTGCTGTTCTCAAAAAGCTGGAAAGCAAAATCTGAGAATCAATTATGCTCCACAAAACCATTACGCTTCCAATTCCTTTGATAAACAAGCAAACATGCGTGAAACTGTACAAAACAGTTCAAAAACCAATTTCCCTGCAATTATTTGCTAGTCGGTTTCAACAGAAGAATAGTATCGATGCTAGAAGAACAGGAGAAGCAGGAAAGTAATCTGTTCCTGTGAAAAAATAAGTTCTTCCAAGTTGATCTTAATAAAGATCATCATTGTTAGTCGTATTGTTAGTACGTATTGTCCGTTTCTGCAACAGTAGGGTCCTCTTTCTTAACAAAAAAGTTCCATACAACTAAAAGTGGGCACACTTTACAATATTTCTTACTTCAAACAAAAAAAAAAACACTTGTATGTTTTACTACTATTTGATGTCCAATTTTGATAGTGACCAAGTCTTTCTTCAAATTATGAGCAACTAAAACTCGTCGTGGAAACTTTTTTCAGTGTCTACCATCTTGCTGCCCAAGAACAGGTCCATTTTGCTCAAGATCTCTGACAAATTCAATTTCCCATCAAGATCAATGTCTGACACATTAATTAAATGTTGAGCTTCCTGTATGGCATGCCTTGGATTTCTTGGATCTATGTACATCTGAAATAAAATGTCAATATAAGATTGAAATAATATTATAGCTATTGATAGATCTTCCAAGTCCATTGTTTTCTTACCAGAAGTTCTGTTCGATCAGCTTTCCCACTTTTGTTCTTGTCAATAAGGTGTTTAAACTCCTTACGTCTGTCTTCACTCCCCCCAATTGCTTCATGCTTGTCTTCCTTCAGATCTAGGCCCATCCCTTCAGAGGGTAAATCAGAGAATTCATCTTCTGTCAGCTGTTCATCCCCATCACGGTCTGAATAAAAATCAAATGAAAAAGAAAATGTTGAATTATATAATTACAAAATCTTAAGGTAGCAAATACATCTCAGCAAAAATTTGATATTATCAAAAATTGGGATTTCACCAAATTTCTCAAACAAATCCTCCACCATTTGCAGCAGGGCCCTGTGACTACTCTCAGGATGTGTGAAAGCTAGGAACTCATCCAAAGCCAGTCTCTCCGGATCGTTTCTGGCTGCTTCCGCCCATCTAGCTCTATCTCTCATGATACTCTCCTTCAACGTACGAGACATGTCGCTGTGCTTCTTGTCATGCGAACTCACATAACTCTCGGGAAATCCGTGGGATCTGAGAAAGTACGCGTGATATTCTTCCCATGAGACTTCGCCTAGAATATTAAAATTGGATGTACAATTGCAAACACTTCTTCACACTTCCTGCTGCCTGTTAATTTACTTTATGGTGTTTATGATGAGCTGAGAATTGTACTTTCACTTCTGTTAGCAACAGTGATCTGTTTCTTCTAAGATTCTTCCTTCTTTATTTCTTCTACAGTCTAACTATTAATTACCATTTAGCTCTCTAAGTCCGAGTGGGACTCCAAAGTCCCATACATTCTAACGAATTTTTATCAACCCTCTAAGTTCGGGGGTATTTTAAACTTCGTAGAACTTTTTTCAGGGTTAAAACCGTCTACTTTATACTTCGGATTGGGAGGCTACTCGTTTGGAATGTATGAAAATATGAAAATCGTGGATTTCTGGTACAGAACACTGGAGTCCCACTCGGACTTGGAGGATTAAATTACTAAATTACCATTTCGTGGATTATTATCAATGGCGGTAAACAGGCCAACGTTCTCTCTCATTGCACGACTAATGTGCTCTGTGATCTTGCTGTGTATCCACCTGGCCAACTCCTGAATATCCAGAAGCTGATCCTGATCAGTGTCGGCCCTTTGAAATATATCTTCAAGCAATGTCCGCGGGTTCTCTTGGTTCTCTGCCTCCTCCACCTCCTTGATGTTCTGATCGATGTCCCTATAACGATCTACGTCCCTTCTGTTAGCCGTTACCGCCTCCAGTTCCACGAACAGATTCTCTATCATGGATCCTTCATTATCTCGCTCGGTTGTGGTGGACGTAAGACTCTTGAGGGGCACGTTTCTACGGTACTTGACGAAGAGCAGGCACAAGTAGATGACAAGAGGAACTAGCACGGTCCAACGAAGAAATCGGAAACCCCTTAGGTCTGACTTGCAAATGAATTTATGTCCCTGTGGAGGTACAGAAGAGATCAGACTTAAGTTAATCCTTGAAAACGCAATTCATTGTTTCAACGTAATTTTAAGTTAAAAATTGAAGAACTTGGACGTTGTAGGAGTTTGTGGAAAAGAATTTTTTTGTTCAGTTGAAGTAAATTTCTAGGGAAGTTGTTCCCTGAAGAAGAAGATTCTAAGACTCTCTTCTTCGATCGAAAGAAGCAATTGCGTATAATTACAAATTTTAAAGAAAAATATTTGGATCAAAGAGAATGTTTTTACAATTAAGTCTGTTTTTGAGCATTCACTTTCGATATTATTGCATAAATATTAGAAATTTCGTTATCGAAAGGTTCTAATCAATATTCTTCCGAATTGACGTCTTATAAATAATTATAAAATGTCAAATTACTCACAAAATAGGAAAAACACATGGCTGATCCTGCAATTTACAAGAGGAAACCACTTTGCACCGCTGTGCAGCCACAGAATTTCAATCTCCCTCTTCCCATGCATTGACTTCTCAATAATCCAACTACCAACTACCTTGAGAACTTCTGAAAAATCCACCTGAGACAATCCCACAGTCACCACAGGTGATAAATCCCACTGTCAGTCACAAATTCACCTGTCGAGCAGCATTATTCTCACTGTTGACACTTCACAATTCACAAACATGGTCCAACAGGCATCGATAAACTGTACAAGCGATGACAATTATTCTATAGGGTGGAATTCAATTTATACGGAGTTGGAGGCGAAAATTGGAATAGGCAGTGGCTGACAGAGTGGTAAATAACTAGCAGAAGCCAGTGAATCTATTATGATGACACTGCAGGTGTACTTAGTGGACTGATGTTCCACTATTCTCTGACAAAAAGGCGAGTATCGAGGAGAACTCCGGTCGCACGCTGCCTGGCGAAACCTTAACGGCGTATTGATCCACTTTCACTGTCATGTCCTTTCTCTCTCTAGCCCTTTCTCTCCCTCCTGTGCAGTTCCCTGTCCCACTTTCCTCGATGCTTTTGTCACTGTTCCTCTAATCACAGGGATCCGTTCTCTGCCTCGTGATTAGACCACTAGTTGGTCTACTGCTTCTTGTCTCTGTCAAACTAATTGGACCAAGTTTTGGCTCTTCTTGTAGGATTAGTCCTCTACTGGCTCTGTTTACATAGAGCTTAGTAAAAACATAAAGAGAAGGCTTTCGGAAAGAGGAAAATGAGACTCCTCTCTTATTATTCTTGTTTTTCAGGGTTTTCTGCCTCTGGAAAAATTTCTTCCAATTCTTTTCATTGCTGTTCTGTTGCTTCGCTGACAAGGGAACCTCGGTGACACGAAAATTCCGATTTTGTTGAAACTTTGCAGGTTTACAGGGGACCTCGAGAGAAGTATCGGGCAATTTTTATTTTTTCGCCCTTCTTCTGTTCTTCGGGGTGGAACACAGCCCTCGAATGAAAATAACTGTTACCCTATTTCCCTGTATATCTTTAAAGCTATAGTAGATACGAAACAATTTAACGGTTTTTAATTAATAAAAATTGTTTCTTTAAATAAAAAATCTTCCG